GTACATATATATATATATATTTACAAAAGTATTGTATTATAATATATATATATATATATTTATGTATACGTATATAGCTCGATGATTCGGGTCTATATTAAGTACAATTCATTGGACACAGTTGCAGAACTGTCGGTATGAGGAACGATTCAAATTATAGAGTATATAAATAGGAAAATAAGGGAAGTGTTCGGTGTTGTCTACTGAATAGATTACTATTTGGCAGCTATACTGAGAGCCACCCAATGCACAAGCAACTGTCTCATACCGATAGGAACACTCTCGTTCTCGTTGATGCAATAATGTTACAGAGTTAGATGCAAAATAAAAGAAATATATTGCATTGTATTCTACTTACATTGCATTCTACTTACCTTTCAGATAGACTCTTGGTCGCCGTACTCTTGAGTGCCAGCTTCGACATATTTGATTTCGGCCTTAGTGCAACAGTTGTCATTTACGTATTTTTTATCCTGCTAGATTCAACTACTGAAGTGTGAGCGATTTGACTACACTCGGTTGTACACGTACGGGAGTGAGTGTATATTGCGAGTGAGGTCAGCTGTCGGTTCTTCTATTCGTCTAGTGTATTTAAAATACCGTAAAGTATGTGTATTTAAAATACTGTAAAGTATGTGTATTTATGTAGCGCTTCGGTCTTCAGAGATGTGTATGCTGTGTATTTACAATAATGTGTATCTATGCGGTTATTTTAAAAATCACATCAATAGAGTTGTATTTTTTTTTATGTTAAAATTTGCGAGAGGTGGAATGTTAAAACTCAAAAGTGCCGGTTCAGCCAGCCAGTGTGGACTGTGGAGTCTGTGAGAGCGGCAAATTGTGTTGTATTTATATTTTACGCGCTCGTGTACTATCGTTGCCTCACACCTGGACTCCAGGCCCCAGGGCCCCAGGTCTAAAGGGACAGCCCCAGGGCCCAGACCCAAACCACTAGCCCCTCACTAGTCTCTACTTACTATTTGCACCTCTGACCAGTGTCCAAAGTCCAGAATATACAGTCCTAATTACTTTATTTAATAGGGAATTAGGGACTGGTGACGAGCAGACTGGGTAGGGCCGACCCCGTTGGAATGAATATTTTGTAGTTTTGTTTGGTCCGAAAGGGACTGATTGGGACCTTGAATCTCAGAACATGACCCTAAGTCTCCTATTCGTTTGGGCTGAAAGGCACAGATTTGGACCCAGAATTTGAGCACGCACAACAGTTACCAGAGGGCAGGTCAAGCAGGGGAGGGCCCAGAGGTTGCAGAGGGGTCAATCGTATTTTCAAAAAACAGCGTGTCTCACTCTCACGATTCTCGCGACTCACAGTCTCACAGTCTCACAGTACTCGTATATTTTAAACCCTTTCCTGAAAGAGTGAGCTTTGGCCTCGTTTAGAAAAAGACTAAAAGAAAAATCCCTCCAGCAGAGTCCAAACTCCAGAGTCTAGGTCTAAAGTCCAGCAAAAAAAGTTTGCATTTTTGTCTGTCTGCCTGCTTGACACGTTTTTGGCGCATATAAAGACCGGCAAATTCACAAGATTTAAAAATAAATAATATTCGGAAGGTCCGTTTAGTCCGGTTGGTTCCATTAATCATACTCTCAAGAGAGCTTTTGACTTTAGCAATATGTTGACATTTGACAGTTTCTTACTTCTCTTTTGATTTTATTTTATAAATAATGTAGGAGTCGGCAACTCCTAATCGGGAAAATTCAGGATTCGCGGGGGAATCCGAATTGATTTTATTTTATAAATAATGTAGGAGTCGGCAACTCCTAATCGGGAAAATTCAGAATTCGCGGGGGAATCCGAATTTTGGATTGTTTTTGGGTCTGGGACCATTCTCGAAATTTCAGTGCACAATGTCGAAAAATTGTGGCCAATGAATTTTGATGAGTCATCACCACATGATCCTTGCGAAACGACTAAACGTAGAATTAATGAGAAATCGCGAATAGGTTAGAGCTTAAAGTTCGTAGACATTACATAGACATTTGGGCTTAGTTGTAGACCTTTAGACCGCTACGGGTCTGTCGGAAATTGTATAAATAGGGTAGTATAATAGCTTGCAATCCTCAGACTTCAACACAAAGGATTAAGAAAGAATAGAGGAGGATTGCCAAGACTACTTGAATCGTAGACTTTGACTTGAGCTGAGTCAAGAATCAAATAAAGGATACTACCGAGAATTTTTGCCTAAGTCTTTTGGCAGGGTTTAGGGTTCCTAGAGTACTTTGTGGACTAGGAGTTTTGGACTCAGGGCTTTTCGGGGTTGGCCAAGGATTTGTGGGGATTGCCGGCCACGATCAAATTGGGATCAGAACAGGAAATTAGGGTCAGGGATATTATAATTCAAGTAGCTGGGAAGCCCCTCTGTAGCGGAGCCGCCGTCTAGGGAACAATGCCGCCAGTGTTGCTGTCAGCTGTTGTTGGGCATAGTTATATTGCAATTGATCTATTGAAATTGCTTTAGACATTGTCACTAAGAGATTGGGGAGACCCGTGCAGTAAAGCTCAGAAGAGTAGACATCCACTTGTTGGAATCTTCTTTACGTAGGTAATTCGTTGCTGTAGGCCTTGTTACCATGTATCGCACCCCTTAGAAGTACTCTGAGGCCAATACTATCGTAATTCCAATAGGTCGTTTCATTATGGCTAATGCAGAGCAGCAGTGGGTTGCAACGATGGAGGCGAAATTCCAACAGATGGAGGCTGCATCAACGCAGCTTCAGCTGCAATTGACCGAGGAAAGAAATAGACCTCGTGGGGTTAGAACCAATCTCAAACTGAACAAGCCAGACGCGTATGATGAGAAGACCGATGTGTCTTGCGTTCGTAAATGGCTATATCGAATGGAACAGATGCTTGCAGCGGAACGGGTTACAGCCGGACGTGATGTCGAAGA